AAAAGCCTCAAAAAAATAAGGTTTTGCTTTTTTATTTTTTACTTTTTGGTACCAGGGATTGAACTTAGGACCTTGTGCTTGTGGCAGGCACGATGCCACTGAGCTAAATCCCTGGCTCAGGTTTTTGTTTTTTGTGATCTGTTCCCCAGTATGGTTAACATATGCTAATGGTTGAGTACTATACATTTCAAAATTGCAACAAAGTAGATTTCAAATGTTCTTATCATAAGTGTGTTAAATATTTGAGGTGATGACCTTTTTTATTTTTTTTGTTACTGGGGTTTGAACTCAGGTCCTTGCATTTCGAGGTAGGCAGAGGAACCACTGAGCTAAATCCCCGACCCTGGACTGTATTTTCTTGATGTAATTATTTCATGTATTAACCCTAATATCACTTTATAAAAAAATATATATGTATGTGTGTATATACCTGTACAGCTATGTATACCTCTAATTTCTCCATTATAATTCTCTAGAATGTAAAACAACCAGTGACTAAATGTAAGGACTTATTTCTGGAATATTCTATTCCATATGTTTCTCCTTATGCCAGTATACACTATCTTGATTATGCAGCTTTAAGATTCAAAAATCAGAAACGGGCCCCCAACTCTGTTCTTTTTGAAGTTTATTTTGCTGTTTGGGGTCTCTTGCATTTCTGTATGAATTTTAGCATCAATGTGTCATTTTCTGTAAAAAAAAAATGGGATTTTGTATAAGATTACATTCTGTCTGTAGCTCATTTTGGGAAGTGTTTTGATGTTAACAGTACGTAGTGTCAGGTCCGTGAACATGGGATATCTTTCCATTGATTTCTTAAGGGTACTTGGTGGATTTCAGTGTGCAGATCTTGCACTTCTTTTGTTAAATTCTTAAATGTTCTTCAAATGCTGTTATAAGTGGAATTTTTTATATTTAATTTCCAAGTTGTCCATTGCCGTTACATAAAATACCATTGAGTTTTATATATTATACGCTGCAGCCTTGCTGAACTCATTTACTAGCCAAGTTTCATAGGTACCTTAGAATTTTCTATACATAAGATCATATCATTTATTGTTACAGTTTTCCTTCCTTTCCAATCTGGATGCCCTTTTTTCTTTTATCTAATTGTCCTGGCTAGACCATGCAGTACAGTGTTGAGTATAGAAGTAGGAAGAGTATTCTTTTTTTGTTTGTTTGTTTGGTTTTTTGAGACAGGTAGTTGAGACTGACCTGGATGGAACTCGCTTTGTAGCCCAGGCTGGTCTCAAACTCACAGCAATCCTCCTGCCTCAGCCTCCCCAGTGTGTAGCCCAGGCTGGTCTCAAACTCACAGCAATCCTCCTGCCTCAGCCTCCCCAGTGCTGGGATTGCAGATGTGTGCCACCATGCCTGGCTAGGAAGAATATTCTTTATACAGTGGTAACCTTGGTTCTCAAATATGTCACTTGCAGTTTGGTTGGTTTTTTTTTTTTTTTGGTTTTTTGGTACCGGGGATCGAACTCGGGTCATTGTGCTTACAAGGCAGGTGGTGGAACCACTGAGCTAAATCCCCGGCCCACTTGCAGTTTGGTTGGCAAAATTTTGTTTTTATTTGTAAACTCTGCATCAGGCGATAATCATGACCACAGCATAACAGCAGCTAGCTGTGTGTGTCAGTAGCTGTGCTGGGGGAATACAGGAGGCCATCTTTGTGTTCACTGACTTGATATGACAAACAGCAAGGTGTATACCTGTATGTCAAGGTGTAAATTGGTGAGTTTTATCCACATACATTTTTGTGTATAATTTTTTTTGTTAAATGTTTTCTTTTGATTTTTCTTGTAGAATTAGCCCAATTCAGTACAATGTTGCATAAAAATCCACTTCTGCAACTTTAGGAAGAGGTTGAAATTGAGTTATCAGGTGACTTGGCTGCTAACGATGATTTGGATTATGTAAGCCAAAGAAATAGCAATATATCATGACTGATACGATAGATAAATATATGCTAGAGAAATACAGAATAAAGACCTTGGTTCAGATGAAAACAGTGATGTGAATCAGTATTTGACTAGTCAAAAGGCTACAAAATGGTGATGAATACCTGAACGATCCAGTGTTAGAAATGGGTCAGAACAGGTTAGGGTGAAACCTATTGAACAGAATGCCAACACTATGGTTCGGTGTTGGAAATTGTAACAGGCGATATGCTACAGGATAGTTTGAAATACACTAATAGTGAAGTACAAGAAAACATTCTGTATGCATCAGTACTAATACTCAGAAATATATTTATCATGACAGCTGTCTGAACTAAAAGCCTTCATAGCCGGACTTTTATCATTGTAATCATCAGAACCGAAAGGATTTATAGAGAAGTGATAGATGTGGCATTGAGATTGTTAGAATAATGGCACTTGAGATTTGTTATTCTTCAGAGTTGCCTATGTTTTTATGGTGAAAAGTTCTTCCAAGAAAGAAAAAAATCCGACACTGTGGCTCCTATTCACTCATTTGTTGAAAGCTTTAAAACTGTCAAGCAATTTATATACCGTCCAAATGCATGACAGTTGACAAATAACTTATATCATTTCGTGATTGTTGAAGCTTTCAACAATATATACCAAGTAAACTTTTCTAATAGGGTATAAAGAGATATGCCCTGGTAGATGCAAAGATATTGTGCACCTTGAATGCAGAAATTTATCTTGGAACTCAGCTACTACATTTTTCTTTGTGCAGTAAAAAACCATATGACTCTGGACAGACTTGTTGCACCTATTTCAAATGTAACTCAGATATCACATTTGACGATTGATCACCCATTGATACTACATTTGCTAAAATCACCAGTTGACCAGCATAAAATCTATTCACAAGAACAAAGCCCAGATTCCTAAAAAAATGTTTCACATTCACAATAGACAAATCAGTAGTACAATCTTTGAATTTCAGAAAGATACAACTTTGGCCTCCTGTATGAAGAAGAAAAACAAATAGTATTGATTCTGTCAACATTACATCATGATACTGAGATTGATAGGTTGGTTGGGTGGGCATGGTGGTACATGCCTGTAATCCTAGCGCTCCCCTGTAATCCCAGTACTCTGGAAGCTGAAGCAGGAGGATCTTATGAGATCAAGGTCAGCCCGAAGCACATAGCAAGACCCTGTCTCGAAACAAAGATTGGACCCAGGATTTAGCTCAGTGGCACTTTTCCTGCCTTGCAAGTGCAAGGTCCTGAGTTCAATCCCCTGTACCAAAACAACAACAACAACAACAAAAACCAAAGATTGATAGTGAATCAACACAAGTGAATCCAGAAATGGTTACATTTTACAACAAAATGAAAGGTGAGAAGATGTTGACGAGTTATGCAGCAACTCTGATGTCACTGGAAACAAGTATGGCCAGTGGTTGTGTTTTACGTCATCCTGAACATATGAGTCATACATAGTTTTAGTTTACAAAGAAAACAGGCACAAAATATGACAGGATATTTTCTTAGAGGATTTGGACTAGAATTGATAAATGATCAGTTACAAAGAACAGTATGTATCTGCCCAAAGTACTTCTCAAAAGAATTCTGGAGCAGACTGGTGAACAACAGACAGGTGAAACATCACAAGAACCTCCTAAGAAAACTGGAAGAAGAGCAAGATGTCAAGTGTGTCCTACCAAAGAAGAGAAGAACACAAAACCCTTGTGGTGTCTGTGTGATACTTGTGTATGAAACATACTGTTCTCGTGTGAAGATTGCCTTGGATATGATAATTATACTCAGGCTTAGCCAAAAGGCTGAGGTGTAATAGTTGAAGAAAAGATTATATTTGTTGTAGAGTTTTATTTGTATTTTCATTGTAGTTCACATATGAATTTGTTTCTGTTGTTATTTTTTAGTTTGAGGAAACAGTTGATGCAGAAAATGGTGGTGTTTATTCTAAACAGTATACATTTGCTATTTCATTTTGTTGATATTTTCTTGCTAAGTGGACATTGTATAATACAATAGGAAGCCCCTGACAAAAGAGGAAGATGCTCTGACGAGTGTTATCATTACATATGCCTTAAATGTACCAATGTTTTACAATTAAAAAGGGGAAGGCAAGGATTTAGCTCAGTGGCACTACACCTGCCTTGCAGGCACAAGGTCCTGAGTTTGATCCCTGGTACCAGAAAATCAAAAAACAAAAGAGGTGACAAGTATGGCCTGCCAAACAGGAAAGCTAATACATGTGCTGTAAATGTGACAAGACTTGTGCATGGAATATGCTATTGTCATGTGTGAATGCTGCCTTAGGTGTGATAATTGAAGCAATGATTATTTTTGTGGCAGAGTTTTTTTTTTTTGTAGTTCACATAGGAATTTATTTCTACTGTTGTTTTTTAGACCTTGTGAGCAGGTAAACAGTTGATATTGAAAATGTTGATGGAGCCAGGTATTTAGCTCAGTGGTGCCATGCCTGACTCAAAAGCACAAGGTCCTGAGTTCAGTCCCTGGTACTGGGGGGAAAAAAAAGAAAATGTTGATGTTTATTCTACACACACATTACATATTAAATTTTTAATATTTTAATGATATTTTCCTTTTAAGCATACATTATTTAATATAAAATTCATTAAGTTAAAAATAATGCATCAATAGAAATACTCCTAAAAACGTGGCCATTACACAGCCTCATAATGTACTGTGCCATTTCTAAAAATTTGCTATGATGCCTCCAGGGTGCATGACTGGGCATGGTAGCGCATACCTATAGTCCCAGCCCTTGGGAGATTGAAGCAAGAGGACTGCTGTGAGTTCAAGGCCACCCTGAATTACAGTGAGACCCTGTCTCAAAAAACCTTAAGAAAAAGTCACAGGATCTGGGAATAGTCCCTGCACAGGAGCACTCCTGTTTCCTAGCCTGATGTTCCCAACAAATGTGCTTCGGTTAGCTTACCTCCAGAAAAGGATTCGAGTCGTATGGTGTGGTAAGTTCTGGGTCTTAAATTTACAATAGCCTTTTTCTCCAGCTCTCAACTTTCCTTTTCAGAAGGTGATGCTCTCTTACGTAACCTTCACTCTCGGCCTCAGCGACTTGTTGATCATATGAGGAATCTCCACGAGGAAGACGCCTTACTGAAGGAAGAAAGCAGGATCTTCAGTGACATTGTCTTTGTGGATGTTGTCGATACTTACCGAAATGTTCCTGCAAAATTACTAAACTTCTATAGATGGTGGGTTGTGAAAACATTGGGTAGCTAGAACTTGTATTGTTCTTTTGATGGAGAAACATTATATATTCAACCACTGAGATTTCAAAACACAAAAACCTACAACTGCCGCATGCCTGGAATATGGCTATTGAATCCTGGCTCCTTTGAAGACATCATCTAAGATGCTGCCACTTTCTTATTTGATCGAGCAGATCCACAGTATGAATTATATGGACTGGTCGGAGCAATCACATTAATTCAGTTGGAGTTATTTGTCTCTAGCTACCATTAGATCAGAGTCATTGAGTTTAGAAATGGTTCCTTTTCAGCTCTGTTCATACCCATCCACCAAGATTCCCCAGTTAAAGTCAGTTGCACCCAGGTTGCCATGCCAGTTCTGTTCTCCTGAATATCCACTGCTTTTCTGTTCTGATTCCATCAATTTACGAACTTACCTTGTGCCAAGCATGGTGTCGTGTGCCAGTTGTGCCACCTCATGTGGCCAAGTCAGGAGGATCAGGAGCCCAGGAGTGTGAGGACAGCTTGAGTAACCTTGTCTCTTAAAAAGAACAACAGCAGGGACCAGGGATTTAGCTCAGTGGTGCTGCCAGCTTCCTCACAAGTACAAGGTCCTGAGTTCGATCCCCGGTGCCAAACAACAGCAACCAAAACTACTTGCCTTGATTCCAGCCTGGCTCGCTAAAATTCATCCCCCTTTAGAATCCATCATATTTATAACTTCCAGAGTCTGCAGTGTTTCTTGGATCTTAGTTGTAATTCCTAGCTTCATAAAAATAACAATATGCAGTAATTAATTTTATTATATAGTTAGTTGCTCTAGGATCCTGAAATTTGCTGGTGAGTTTTTTGATAGTCTACCTTGGCTGTAGGAACAGAACTTTTGGACTGTCTCTCAAGGAGCCTAATTCTATAAAGGGTATTCACAGCTTTACCTTTTCTTTTTCCGTACCTTCTTTGTGGGCTCCTGTTTGCTGGTGGCTCTGTGTCTTATCTCTTCTTTCTTTTCTCTGATGGGAATTTCACAAGTACTTTGTGGGTTTTTTTTGGGGGGTACCGGGGATTGAACTCGGGTCCTTGCGCTTGCAAGGCAGGCCACCGAACCACTGAGCTAAATCTCCGGCCCCCACAAGTACTTTGTGGGTTTTTTTTGGGGGGTACCGGGGATTGAACTCGGGTCCTTGCGCTTGCAAGGCAGGCCACCGAACCACTGAGCTAAATCTCCGGCCCCCACAAGTACTTTGTGGATATGGTTTCCTGGTCCTGAGGGTAGATAGTCCAGTTAGGTTACGGAAGGTAACATTTCCTGCCAGGGACACATTGACATAATTTTGGAGCCATCCTGTGGGTAGAGGGCATATGGATGTGTCTAGGATGGCAGGACCAAGTGTAAATGGCTATTGAAAAGGAACTTCCTTTTAACTCAAGGCCACTGATGGAAGTTCCAGGTGTGGATAAGGCCAAGCCAGAGAAGTGAGGTGGTTGGGGTGGGAACGAAAGAGGAAGCGGAATGGAGGTGTTATAGGACTTCCTATGGGGGCTACTTCCCAGGGGTGGAAGTCTTGCATGGCATAGATGTTGCCTTCAGTTTCAGTTAAGCTTTCTCTTTTATTCCTCGCCCATCCCTGAGGTCTCAGCCTGTCCCCTCAGTCTCGCTCCTGCTGCCTATTTCTGACCACCTTTTCTGCTGGATCGCTGTGCTGGAGAGTGGGCCTAAGACCTCCACATGCCAGACGTGTGCTCTGACACAGCAACATCCCGGTCCTTCCCTCCGTGTTGTAAATGCAAGTTTCTTCTACTTCATTCAGTTGAGTCACCAGTGACCTAAAGGTCCTTTATCACACGTTTATTTCTAATTAGGTACTATGCTATTAATTAGAAATAAACTTTAGAAACAGATATTCTATTTGGTATAGACCCATTCTTAAAAATTCATCAGCTTTGACCTAATGATATTTTCTCCAGATTTCATGTATTAAGATTTGTCGAATGATTAGTTCCCTAGCAAGAGTCTTCATTTTTAAAACAGACATATACAAAAAGTGGTGGTGTGAAATGAATGAGTCAATTCTCTTGTTGCTGTTAGATGGTTTCTGATGTCTGGATAAATCAGGTCATTGGCTTGTTCCTTTCAAATAGTCATAATAGTTTAATTGCAAAGGAGAAAATATGTTTCGGTGTCATAACTCAGTTTTTTCAAGCCATAATCACTGTTAAGTGTAATGTAAATAGCAACAGAGAATTGTATAATGGTGTTCTGTGTAAGAGACTTAAGTAGGACCCTGTCCCATTGTCCTGGGCCTCTGCTATTCAGAACACACAGGGCAAGGTTCAAATGGTTAACAGATCTGGGAACTTGATTAATGCCTGAGAAGCATCTGTTCAAACATATGTTCCAGTTAAGCCAGATCTTTTCCATTGTGTTCTTTTTCCTCTACCTTCTACACTCAGCTTGGTTGGGCTGGGGTTACAGCTCAGTGGTAGAATGGTTGCCTAGCATGCACAAGACCCTGGTTCCATCCCACACCAAAACAATAAAAACGCCTGGTGCTTCCTCGTGTTACTTCACTTAGTAAATACCAAGTGAAGACCATAGTTGATAGCAGGGTTGTGTTAGAGCAGACACACTTTTTGTTGGAAGAGCAAGATGTGGAGACCTGTGCAGGCGGAACAGATGCACTTCTGAGTTCCAGTGGTAGTGATGCCACTGCTTTGATGTTCTGTGGTTTCCCAGCTTGTCTCACTGACCTGCCTATCCCTTTCTGCCAACAGGACTGTGGAAACAACCAGCTTCAATTTATTGCTAAAAACAGATGATGACTGTTACATAGACTTAGAAGCTATATTTAATAGAATTGCCCAGAAGAATCTGGATGGGTCTAACTTTTGGTGGGGAAAGTAAGTAAAACATGGTTAGCTGTGAGCATTCATGTACCTGATCAAATGTAATTTAGAATCAAATGTGCAAGTCATTTTTCCACAAAAAGAATGAAGTTGAGATACTACGAAGTATCCTGTTAAACTCCTGGTGTTACTATTACTCTTAATTAGAAGGGAACTTTTGTTCATGGAAAATCTCAGGCTAAGAGAAAACAGATGTGCTTTTATCTTCATGCTCTAGGCATAAATGGTTCTGAGATGCTACTGTGACTTGTGTTAGAATGAATGTGTGACACAGCTCTGCAGTCATTTTCTGTGCTGCTTCAGGACACTGTGAAGTTGTTTAATGGGGGATTTGGGGGTGGCGCGTGTGTGTGTACACAACAGCACAATCTGTTACTTTCCATTGAGAACTTTTTCAGAAGTTTTTATAGAGAATTTAATGTACTCTTATACAAAATACTTCTGGATAAATTCCTTTCTGGTAATTCCTTTCCATAAAGGAATTTTTTTCTCATTCTTTCGTCCTGTATGAGCATATTCCTTTGTAGTGATGACAAAGGGATCCAGTCTCATGGTGCACAATGTGTGTGTCACCAACAGAAAGAAGTTACATTTCTTTATAATCTCAAGTTTCAGACTGAATTGGGCAGTGGACCGAACTGGCAAGTGGCAAGAGTTGGAGTACCCCAGCCCAGCCTACCCTGCCTTTGCATGTGGGTCGGGCTACGTGATTTCCAGGGACATTGTTGGCTGGTTGGCAAGCAACTCTGGGAGATTAAAGACCTATCAGGTACTGAGGAATTTTTTATCTAGGTGACTCATCAGCCCAGCGTCACTGAAGCAGGGCTCCCTTGCCGAGGACTAAAGCCTGTGGTTCTTTATTGAAATCACCCCTCAGAGGTTTTGGATATTCTGCTGTCCCTCAAATCCTATAAATTCTGTTCCAGAGTCTTGTTTGAGACCATGTTCTCAGTCTACATGTATAAGTCTAGCCTGTGGAGAAGTAAGATTTTTTTTCCGAAGAAGGAAAAATGGAGGAAGAGTGTTCTGATTTTGATTAGTGTCAGTAAGCAGTTCTGTGTAGTTAGCTGGACCTGCTGTATGGGTCAGTTAGTCCTGAAAGTGTTCACCTGGCCGTGTCGGTGTGGGTGCTTCCTCAGGTGATAACTGGCTCTTCCTGGCGTATCTAGGTTAATCCATGTTTGACCTTTCGTATTAGAACAGCAGCAAAACAAAGAAGTATATTATTTGGGGTGAGTGTTGCAGTGTCTTTACAAATAACATTTAACTTCTTATCATGTGCAGGGTGAAGATGTAAGCATGGGCATTTGGATGGCAGCCATAGGACCCAAGAGACACCAGGTAAGCCAGCCAGAGGGAGCTGGCCTCAGGCCCTTGGAAGTTGGGGAGGGAAGTTGCCGTGTTGTGTACATCAGACCATGAGAAGGAATGAAGGTCTTTCATCATAGCAGTGCTTTTGATTCATTTATAGCAAACCACCTTTACTTTTCTGAGCTTCAACCAAAAGAAAATGTTAGAATAAAAGTTCCCTGCCCCACAAAGAATTGGGTTTTCACAGAGTTGATCAGAAGTTATTTGGAGCTTTAAGTTAGGCTCCACTGACCTGAGTTCCTGGCAGTGGGTAGACCCTGTAACCCTAACTGATTCCATGTTTCATCCAGGATCTTAATTCTGAGACAGTGTTTAAAACACATTGTTGAGCCAGAAAGAGAAATAAGTCTGCAAAGACTGAAACAGTAGGAGCCTTGGGAAGAAAACAAGCTTCTCCCTCAGATATCTGTGTTGCACTATGGGTTTTTGCAACTTGTACTTTGGTTGTAGAAGGTGGAATGTGTGGTGCCCGCCACTTAGCTGAGCTATGGTACCAGAGCACTCAGCTTGTGTGAGCAAGAACACTCACTCACCTGCCCGGGTTGATTTGATAGTCCTGTCCTTGTCACACTTCCTGTTACACCTCTGATTTAATGTTGCAGATGAAACTTATTTTCTGTATCTGATCATTCTGGTATGTGCAGTCTGAGTCTGTAGTGCGTTCCTACAGACTTGTGAGTTCCTGGTACTGAGAAACACTTTTAAATCATGAACTAATCATCTTTGGAAACTGAGGCCTGCCTTCAAAATGCGGCCCTCCAGTGAGGCTGTGCATTTTTTCCTGCCCTGTACTATACTATCTATGATCACTTCATTTCTGCTTGGGGCTTTAGGGCATCCAATGTGCACTGCGGATCCAGGTACTTGGGGGACTCCTCCATCCCCCTTGGGCAAGACTCAGATAACAGCCTTCTGGACACAAACCTCTGCTCTCTTACATATCGCCGAAGAGAGTGGCCCTTCAGGGGTCTGCCGGGGGTAGGGGGGGGGCGGTGTGTGTGTGTGTGTTTCTCTCCTAGGGTTGAGTCCAGTAGGGGCGTGTCAAGACTCAGATAACAGCCTTCTGGACACAAACCTCTGCTCTCTTACATATCGCCGAAGAGAGTGGCCCTTCAGGGGTCTGCCGGGGGTAGGGGGGGGTGGGTGTGTGTGTGTGTGTTTCTCTCCTAGGGTTGAGTCCAGGGTAGGGGTGTGTGTGTGTGTGTGTGTGTGTGTTTCTCTCCTAGGGTTGAGTCCAGGATCTTTGCATTGAGCTACATCCCCAGCCCTTCTCTAATTACTTGAGATAGGGTCTCGCTAAATTGCCCACTCCAGGCTGGAACTGCTTTCTTCCTGCCTCAGCCTCCTGTTATGCTGGGATTACAACCTGTACCAATCACCATGCCTGCCTGACATAGCCTTTTAAAACTCAAGTGTCTGCTGGTGATTTCAAGGCTCCCAAAGAACCTTATTAGTGTCACACAGAGTGTGTGCCTACACGCGTGCTTTCTGCCTCTAAGCAGCTCCTGGCTCTGCTCAGCTCATTTTGTCTCCCACAGGACAGCCTGTGGCTGTGTGAGAAGACCTGCGAGACAGGAATGCTGTCCTCTCCACAGTATTCGCCGCAGGAGCTGGCAGAGCTGTGGGAGCTGAAAGAGTTGTGCAGTGACCCTTGTCAGTGTGAAGCAAGATCATGATCACTCAAACCAGCAGTGCGGAGACTGGGCAGGGCAGAGAACTCCACGGAAGTCTGAGGAGAGCCCACAGGTTGGCAGTAGAATACATGATCTTTCAGCAGAGTTCTCAGCTGGCACTTTCTCCTGTGGCAGTGTGGATTTATTATGTTTGCACAGTTTTCCTCCTTAAAAATCAACTGACACTGTAGCATAAGAAAAGTTTTTATCTATATAATGGACGATGGTTTTTAAAATACCAAATTGTTTTATAAAAGGAGAAATATTTCTAAATCCTGATCCATTTTTGCTGATTTGTCCTAATCTTTGGTTAAAATGGCCTGGTTAAGAAATTTTGAGTAGTGACTCAGTTTGAATCTGAATTATCAAGGTAGCTCTGCATAGCTTAATTAGCACACCTACAGGCCAAAAAGGACTCCGAAAAATGCTGTGTGACCACTTGTATGAGCAGTGGTCACTTATACCAAAGTTTGGGGTTTTTCGAAATAGCATTAGGTTTTGTGGATTTCTGAATGAAATGTGGGCAACTTGACCTTGAAGAGGATATAATATAATCCTCAGTTCTGGGCCTTACAAAGATACTCACTTATACATTAGGCTAATATCCAAGTTTTCTTATGCCATTTAACATAAAACCTGAATGTCACAGTTCAGTACTCATATTAAATACTAAATCTTTGTGGATGTGAACAAAAGTACTTCTCAGGGTTTTAGTGTCATAGGGAGGGATATTTTGAAGTCGTTGACCCTTTTTTTTTGTGTGTTTTAGTTTTTGAGACAGGGTCTCACTATGTAGTTGAGACTGCCCTGGAACTCCCTTTGTAGCCCAGGCTGGTCTCAAACTCAGCTATCCTCCTGCCTCAGCCTCCTGAGTGCTGGGATTACAGGCGTGCACCACCATGCCCCCGGCTGTCATTGACACTTTCAAAGAATAAATTTTGCTTTCCTTCTATCATTGCCTAATATAAGTCAATATGAATCAGAGCTGATCATCTTTTATGAAAGATGTGCCCAGTTTAGGTATAACTGTAGGGAAAAGCATGTGATTAATTCTTTAAAAATAGTGCAACTGAAAAAATAGCACATATGTTATACACAGTAGAAGACGTGTCTGAGTTTTAAGGGACATTTCACAAAACCAAATCATTTTGTAGTAACCTTTTTAAAATAGTATCAATAGAGAATTCCATTGGAAATAGTCTTATGACAGATATTAACTATATTCAGATTTTATTAGACTAGTTTCTATTTAATATTTAAATCTTCACATGAGATGCAGTGATGAGATATAAAAAATAAATACAAAGATCAGAAAGTCATTAGTAAAACCTTTATTGTTGCTATTACATACAAGTCTAGAAATGGTCTCTTCCCAACAAACTGCATCCTTTGTTATAATCAGGGCTTGCTTTTTTTTTTTTTTTTTT